GAACAACATGGATCCTAGCTGAGTCACCGCCTTGTCGCTGTTGGCCTGGAGACCATCTAGAGACATGGCTGGAAGAGAGAGGCGCATAGTGATGTCAGTAAACATCTGAGACCAAACGCAAAGCCAGAAAGACTTATGCCATTTCAGAAAAGCAGAGTAAGGATCAATTGATACCCAACCAGCACTTTGAGCTTACCCAGAGAAATGGGGTTGTGCGGGGTGTGAAGCAACCTCTCCCCGTGTGCAGAAGCCAGACTCTTCAGCTGCTCAGCCAGGAACGAATAAATCTCCTGCACACCATGCCGATACACACAAGAAGGATGAAGACACTGAACAACACACAAGATCTATAAATAGCACTACAATACTCCTTTTTCCATACAGACACAGCCTTATTTTAACAGCAGCAGCAGCCTTGGTTTTATTGCTAATCAAGCAAATCTTCCAACAAAGCAGGTGGATGCATGACCAAACTCTTCCCTATTTGCCTGACCCTGTATGATTGTCTGTTTCTCTCTAAGCTTCAGTACAAGCACTATGTTCATTTCCTGTCCAGCTTGTTCTTAACACATCCACCTCTGGGATCAATTAGAGAGGCCAGGAGAGTAAAAGAAGAGGACTGCAGGCTCTTAAACACAGTTTTTGATATTCACATGCTTCAAATACGCTGATTAAGCACCGAGAGTCTCAGAGCAGCGTGTGGAAGACTGAAATAGAACGATGATGTTCAGGACACAAACGTTCAAACAGGGAAGCTACACGACAACTAAACACAGTGCTTTTGTTGCTAGCTACCAGCTCCAGATTTCCCAAAGAAGCTCTTTTCACTGCGTCTGTGTGTGTGAGCGAGGGCACACTCTGCTGACTCATACTGTCCTTGTTTGAAAGCATCAAGAGGGAAAATATTTTCCCTGTCAAGAGTCAAACACAAACAGCATTTCAATGATGTCAAGTGTCTCTAAGTGTCCATTGTCCTCTAATAACAAAGGATGACTTTATTATGCCGGAGGAGGAGAACAGCGTAAGTGGTGGTGAGAGTGCAGGACAATAAGTTTGTGTTTGTGACGAGTCAAAGGCCGCCCCCACTAAAACAAAAGCACGCGCATCACCCGTTTCTTCTTTTCATTATGCAGACATGATCTAAACCGGTGGTACACACGAGGCAGTAAAGGAACCTAAACAGATGAAACGCTTGAATTATTAAAAGCTCGTGATTCTGGGAGAGACGTTCTGCAGACTCTATGGGGAAAAAAATGGTTCTGTACATTAATTATGCATAAAGTGGACCGAGAGGAATCAATAAGCTCTGATGGTGTGTCGGGTCAGGCAAGAGGCCACAGGAATCTCCTAGGTATACATTTCAGCTACGGATTAGGTTGTACACCGATATCCCACTTTGAGTATTGTATGGCATCATTTTTAAATATGAGATCTTTAAGCCACGTGTAATTTCTATATATGAATCCGGGGTAATTTCTAAAAAAACTCTAAAGTGTTACTCCTTTTCGAGTTTCTGTGCTCTGAGTCTGAGGACAAACAGATTCTCTCAGTTGCAGCACATTTACGGCGCAGCAGCAGTTTAGAGGAGAGAGAATGCTGCAGTGCCGATCATCGAAAGAGGAGGATGCTGCATTGTGAGCAACTCTGCTTTAAAGCAGGAAGCCACCAGGGGAGGTTTTCTCAAACTCTCAAAGAATCAATTTTATCTTTCTATAGTGTACTCCTTCCTTCACAGAGCTCACTACACACTCAAGTCCACAGTCTCTATCATCAGTGAGAATGCAGGTGAAGCAAAAAAGGACACACACACAGAAAACTGTAACATATAGCCAACTGCAACTCAATACAACTTATATAAGTTATTGCCATTTTTAGTAGCAAAGACGCTGACACGGCACAGAGACATTTTCAGACCGACTACAACATACACCTGATACTCCTGCAGTCCCGTAATGTTCTCATCATACATGTTGGAAACATCCAGCAGACATAACAGCCACGTTTAACTAAGTGAGGAACTATTTTTAGCCGTATAAAAAGGTGACGTGTGCAACACTCTCACCTTTCTTTCTGACAAGTATTTCTTATAGCCACAGACTCCCAG